GGGCGGTCAGTGCCGAGTGGCGCGGAGCGAGGGGCGAGGGGCGAGGGCGGCGCACCTTGCGCGCGTGGGCGGGACGCGAGGGTGGCGTTGGCGCCAGGTTATAAAAGCGCAGGGCTGCCTGCCGCGTCCAATCCACCTGTGGCTTGCAGCGTCGCCACCCATCTGCGGTAGAAGCGGCCCGGGAGCCTCTCCAAAGCTACTCCGCAACTCATGGCTTCCTGGTGAGTAGCGTGGTGGACCTGGTCAGCTTCTTCATAGCCTGTGGACATTTCAGATTCTCCAGATCACCTTGGACTAGCTTTCATGTATTCTCTACTGTAACTATTTCCCATTGGCGATAGTTTGAAAAATATGCATCGCAATCAGTTAAAATGCGTATTATTAGCAAATAATTTATTTTGCATTTCTTAAACGATAGGAACGTAACGTGCGGGAAATCAATTTCGTGCCTAGTCATAAAAAGAAATGCAAATTTAAAAGATTTGCCATTATTGTTTTGCCTGTATGTTAGCCTATGTTTACCTTTGTTATGCCTAGTGGGCGTCACAACTTTAAAATGGATTAGTTAGGATTCCACAACCAGCTAAACCTATGATAAGGCAAAAAAGAGGCAAAACAGATGGTAGCAATTCAATGTGGTGACAGTTGTGACTTCCTGGAATTGCCTGAATCTAGATTGGACCAGATTTTTCCTCCAAGTCATCAAGTCTTCAATGTAGTTTTTCCCCCGCGTGCCGGCAATAAATCTTCTTGCAGTTTTACGAATGTGCTCATTAGTTAGGACAAATCGAATCAGACACCTTATCTACTAATGTAATCTAAATTTACACTTTACATTCAATGTTTGTTTTAAACCGTTTATTCACGTCTCTTATCTTGTCATTCGTGTTATACATGCTTCATATATTCAAAAATTCATATTTTTTGTGTTACTGAATTTTTAGAATGAATTGTACTACAAGAAATCATCAAATGAAAATATCTTAAATAGCGCAAAATTAAGATATCATTTTAGAGTTTAATTTACAAAATGCAGATATTATTTTAGTTTTATATTTATGTAAATGTATGTAATCTTAAATGATGGGCTGTAACTACATATTTTCTTTGTCAACATAAGCCACGAACATATTTTGAGTGTTAGGAGAGTATGGAGATCCCGTAACTCTTCCGAACACAACATAATCTAAGGGCATTTGGAGTCACAAATGCTTAATGCTAATTATAAGTGAATTTATTATGCATTTTAGCCCTCGTTTAACATTCTAATTTAATCCTTAAAAATTGAAAAGAATCTTTTCCGAAGACAGTACAGAATTGTTCTTTTTAATTGAAAATGTATACGTAGAAGATGTAGAATTGAAGAAATGTTTGCATAGAGCGCAATTTATTAAACATAATAATAGATATCAAAATGTGTCGGTATACATGCGGGTTCTATACATTTATACGAAGGGCTACAGAATGGTTACAGAATCTTCAACAATTATATCATAATATCTTCAGTACTTTCCAAACGACGGTAGTAAAATAGTTATTGTCCATCCTTGTTAAGTATAATAATTTTTCATTGTGTAATTATTAAACGTGAAATTACTTTATTTATTCATTGTATAAAAGTTAAAAATTTTTGTGACAATTGGAGAAGTACTTTATTGGACAAACTTGTTATTTTGGATTATTTTCGGACAATTCTTGTATGTCAGTAATTTGATAATATTGTGACAATCTTTTAAAAACATATTGTCTTGTACGTTTAAAAATGTATATGTTAAGCGTAAAAATCATATTTTGTTCCAACTGTTCTCAAAAACCTCTTGTTAAGGACAAATGCCTAGAATCTACCGTTCTTGTACGGTCTTGATTTGTAACTACATAATAAATATGCAATGCAAAGATACATTCTGAGTCCAATGGATGAATAAGAGTGCCCATTGGACAATAGAATTTTTCTCGGGAAGAGCTTTTTAGAATAATACCCGTTTATGCATTAAGTGACAAGAGTTAAACTTCCTAAGATAATGGAACTTTTTTGTTATTTAAGGTCATATCAACATCTAGGTCATTAGCGACCACTATTGCATTGAACGGTATGGTAACTGTGAAGATAACATGATGTGCTGTTGATAGGGGGTGATAAAACAAACATAAACCGAGTCGGGACCCGAACCAGTGATCCTTCGGTCTGAGATCGCTACGGCACTACTGCCTTAACGACTCTCGGTCATCCAGACCGGCAATGGAATTTTATAAATCCTCTGTTCGTTCTCCGTATAAATGATTTATTTAGTTTATTTTAAAAGTGAAGTGCACTTAAATCGAAGATACTTCAGTCGCATCCCTTGAAATAATAAGTACTCGATACAAAACGGAAAAAGTAGGTACAAACATTTTGAGAGGACTGTGAAGGTGCAATCTTAAAAAGTAAAATATTTCATCTGTCTATTCTTTACAAAGAATACACTTAATTTCTATTCACTTTTCGAAAATGATGGCAATAAATGTTCGGAGTATGATTTGCGGCACTTTCAATTGAGAAAATGAAACTTAGCAATCTATTTTCGTTATTATTCCTTTTGTAAGGTAATTAACCGAGGCCTCTCAAAAGCGTTTGATCAAATCCAATCGTTCTTGAACACAAGCAAGAGAAAGGTCGTCTTTAGGTAAGATAGGAAACAATTTGGATGCTTTTCAAAAATACTTGTTCACAATCTTCAGTATGGGCCAGATCAAGGCTAATTTCAATTGACGACATGATCCGTCAGACTAGTAGACAAATTCCATTAGTCTACGGATTGCATCAAAAGATTCGAAAACTGGCCTTTTGCAATGTTCTTCATTTTAAAGGATATAAATAAACGAAGACACGACTTTATTTGCTCAATTTGTTGTATATGAGTAAGAAGAAAAGAGAAGCACGTTTTTCAGAAATGTTTGAAAATTTCTTCGAGCTAGCGGCTTAGCACAAGCGTTTGGGGCGGACAGACTGTTGCCTTTATATAGGGCGATTGAAACCAGAGTGGGACAATCCTCATTTTTGCAAGGCTATGTCAAGCCTTCCTCTCGCAAGACAGGGAGGAACAAATGTAGCTCTAGCAGAAGCAATCTGAAGGCAGTACCAAACGTGCCCGGACCATGAGCGAGATCAGCCAATCGTCTGCTGACGGTATTCTAAGCCACATTACCTCACTTTCTGGTAGGATATTCCACTCTGGGTCTCACCGCCTTTCATGAGATGAGCGCGAAGCAATCTTAGGGCTCTAACGCACCCTCCGCTCATCCGCTGCGATCGTTCGCTATGCCGCGTCCTACGAGACGAACGGCTCTCGCGGCAAGGGTTGGGGTACTCTTCGGGACAGCGCTCAATTGTGCAGGTGCCATAAGCTCGCATCGGACTACACTCAGACATACACATATTCTGCGAGATATGTCGACTATGGAAACAGGAGACACATACGTAACACCATCCACACCCTTGTGTTTCTCGCGCTCTGAACGGGAGATCCTAGGTTTCGAGTTCCGACGGTCGCAAGGGTTTTCGACCCTAGCTAGAGAACTAGGTGGAATTCAGCTCCTGTGTGGACGAGAATTCTATCAACAGGAAGATATGATCGGTAGTTTTCTGTGGCTTCTCCGACCAATACCAGCCAAATGCCGGAGCAGTACCCTATCCAACGGGCCACAGACCACGCGCGATCTTTCCTTCCTCTTCTTCGTCCTATTGTTACCCATACTTATACTCACATGCACTATACTACCACGTTTGTCAGGAGGCCAGTCGCGAGCTTAGAGCTTGTCCCGGCTGGGGCGGTGTGACCTGGGGCGGGAGTTACCTGGTTGGGGGAAATCCCCGCAAGCCCACGTAAGTCGGCGCCGGATCTCGCCAGCCAGCAGGGGCAGATCACCGCCACCTCCCGCGATAAAAACATTCACTGCACTTACGGGAATAATTACTTTAGTCTTTGACGCGCCGGATAAAACAAATCAATCAATCAACCAATCAAATAAGTTTCTCGCCCGCCTCATCGGAGAAGTACCAGTTTCTCGTTCGGTTCGGTAGTGGAGCGAGTCTCTTGGCACAGATTTCTACATCGTGTTTTCTGAAATGAAGGCGCGCACTATTGCTGGTTAACAGTTAACAATAAACAGTGCAACAGAAATAATTGAGTTGTTAATATTGAATGGTGAAATGTGTAATAACAATCCGGTTTCTTGTATTTTAACTTGATTTTTTGTTTAAACGCAAATGAAGAAAAACTTATGTGAGATTCTAACCGTACTTTTGTGAATCAAGTATACAACAAACAAAATAAAAATTAACAATTTGAATCAAGAAACTGGTGAGGAGAGATTTATTTGAAGAAATGAAATAATTACCATTAAATACAATACTAAAATGTACTCCTCTTAAGTCACTTCAATTTCATTGCACAGAGGATCTACGATCATGGTAACACAACAAAACTCACCGGTTAACATTACACAAAAAAAATTAAACAAGCAATAAATAGGCGACTCTCCTCATAGCCATCTCTGAAGTCACGACCCTCATTTCAAGGCTCGTACAGGCATTTCCAGACATGGAACGCCCTATTTCTAGTGTGCGGTCGCAGCTGTAGGGGCTTTATTTGCTACTTTTCTCGCAACGAGGGTAGGACTTACCTACAAGCAAACCACGCATTATTTAGAGCGTTCGTCAACGGATGGTCCCGTGCCTCGGAAACATTTCAAAAAAAGTATTCGAAAAACTGTCATAAAATATGTTCATATCTGTAAAATAATTGTTAATCAAATAGTCTCAAAATACTATATACAATTTGTTAATATTCACTTGTATTTATACTCTTAGTTATTCTATATAATTAATGTTTGATTATTATTTTTTCCGGAGGGGCTCCCCAACACTATTTTGTGCTAGGACGCCCCGCAGTAACTAAATCTAGCTCTGCCCGCAACGCATCTCTCGGTGTCGGATGCAGCAGGTAGCGCTCAGGGAGATACAAAAAAGTAGTACGAGTGATTTCATACAGAATTCGACCCACAAATGTACGCGACAATCTCTTCCAAGGATGTACTTGTACCTGCCAAGGCAAACCTTCCCGACTTACCGGTGTGCACAGGGGTCGCCCGCTGGGCCGCGCGCTGCTGTGCGGCGCCGCCGTGCTGCTGGTGCTGGCGTGCGCGGCGCGCGCGCAGATCACCTTCTCCAGGGACTGGAACGCCGGCAAGCGCGCCGGCCCCGCGCCCGGCCCCGCGCCCGCGCCGCCGCTCGCCGACCAGT